AAAAGAAAAGAAAAAGAACCCTCCTTCATGGTTGGTAGGCATGAAAACTAGCACAACCATTGTGGAAATCAGTAGTGAGATTTCTCGAAGAACTGAAATTGGAAATTCTGTATGACCCAGCGATCCCTCTGCTAGGCGTCTTCCTCATTGAGTATAAGTCATACCTACCAATATTTATAGCAGCATAATTTATAGTAGCTGAATCCTGCAAGCAGCCTGTATGCCCAAATGACTGTGTAAAGAAAATGTGGTATCTGTGTATGGTGGAATACCATTCAGTGATTTAAAAAAAAAATGACAAATTTGAGATAATATGTAGAAAAATGGATGCACCCAGAAAATACAATGTTGAGTAAAATAAACCAGACACAAAAACTTACATGGTTTCTCTCATTTGAATGAGGCAAATACAAAGAACATGATAAAGGATAGCTAGAAAGAGATAAAGAGATGGATCTCTTGCAATAGGGAAATTGTCCAAAGCAGCAAGGGCAAGAGTTGAGAAGAGGAAGGAGAAATAAGTAGAATAAAGATATGCCACATACAGGAACCTACTAACTACAATGAATGTAACCATTATATACCATAGGTAAGCTAAGATTAATAATGTCAACAAAAGTAAAAACAGGTGGGTCAGCAAGATAACTCAGACAGACTAAAGCACCTACTTAGGCAAGCTTAGGCAAACTCAGGGACCACCGTTTGATCCCTGGCACCACTTGCCACACCAGCCCTGCCTCTGGGGTGGGCTGAGCTGGCCAGAGTCCAGGAGTAGTGGTGGAAACCTGTAATCCCAGTGCTGGGGAGGCTTAAAGTAGGAGAATCTCCATGAGTCTGAGCTACATAGTGAGACCCTGTAACAACCAAATACATTAAAATAAATAAATAAAATCGTTGTTTCATGTGCTTATTTGTTGTTTATATGTATTTTTTTAGATGTCAGTACAGGTCCTTTTCCTATATGTAGTTGGGTTCTTTGGCGTATTTTTTGTTTTTGAGTATAGGAATTAAACCATACTTACTGATTTGTGGAAACTTTTTACGTAATTTAGATTTGATCCCTTACCATTTCCTAGTGTAAATGTTTTCTCCTTGTCATCTGGTGTGTGTGTGTGTGTGTGTGTGTGTGTGTGTGTGTGTATATATATATTTTCTTTTAAGAGAAAAAGCAAACCAACAAAAAACAATGACAGCAATACAGAATTTCAAAACAAGATAATAGGAATTATATTACATATTGTTATCTTCAAAGTAGTTGCTGAGATTACCAGTTATAGTTGTGGAAGATTTGATTATTCATGGTTCCTTTTAATAAATCAATAAAACATAGTAGTACAATTATCATAGCTATCTTGTGTTTCCCTTTTTTTCTCCTTTCCTCCATACCAGTTGTTCTTTCCTTTAAAAAAAAAAAAAAAAAAAAGATAAAGAACATTGAACTGAGTTTCAAAACAGGTAATTAGGACAGTTATAATAGTTGACACATCCTGTAGTAGGAGTAGAAGATTGTACTGGTTGGTACATTGTGTCAACTTGAGAAGTTTAGAAGTTTAAGTGACTCAGCAGAGAGCCAGAATTCTTACTTTGTAAACATCCTCCTGGGCAAGAGGAGGGTATGAACATTGTGTGAGTTCTACACCCCATTCCAGGGTAGCCCACTTGTAATGTGAGGAGGAGAGAGAGGCCTGTTTTCTGCTCCGATGAATTGCTCCCCTCTGCCATGTGCCACTCTGCCTGGGAGCCAACTGAGTATAGACTGAAACCTCCACAAGCTGTGAGCTAAATAATAACCTTTCCTTTTTTAAATTTGGGTGACGGGTATTTTGTCCCAGCAACTAGTAAAAGGTAGCTGTGACAAAGATGTATCCATGCTGTCTTGTAGCACAAAATTTTCTTTTTTAATGAACTGACAAACTAGCTGTATAACAATCTTAACTATATACATATGTTAGTTTTTCATTTTTTTCCTTTCTTTGTTTTCCCTTTTCCCATCACAGTTTTTCTTTTCTTTTGCACAGTTTCTTACCCTTTACAATATCTATTGTACATTTCAGATCTTATTTATTTATTATTATTATTTTTTAATGGAATTGGGGATTGAACCCAGGCCCTTTTGCTTGCCAGTGAAGCGCTTATTCTACTGAGCCATCTCCAGGCCCCCGGATCTTATTTATGATATATTTACAGTGTGTGTTTTAGGAATTTGGAGATGTGTGTAATAATTTCAATAATTTCTTTGTACTTTCTAGCTTTTGTATTCTTTTTAATGTTTTTTACTGTGCTATTATAAAATATTTTCTTATACTGTTTCACTGCTATGATTTTTGTAGGCTAGTCAGCAAATATTTGATCTGTAATCCATGCTTAATCTAAAATTTACAATAGGTATATTAAAATATCAGGGATTGAGCTCAAGGTTTCATATGTAGATAAGCACTCCATCAATGAGCTATAACCCCAGTGCTATTGTACTAGGGAGTTCATAATTGACTCTGGCCCCCTCTTATAGTTATCTAGAATTGAAGGAAAATTTTTTACACATTTGAGATTGGCTTTTGTAATTATTGTTTAAGAGATAGTTACTTAGCAAAAGAGCTAGCCTGACACAGACACATACTGTAAACATTCTTTTACTTAGGTACTTATTCTGAAATAAGTTATATTTGTTTCAAAGAAAAATTAGAAGCCATGGGCTGGAGTTATAGCTCAGCAGCATACACACCTACCTGGCAAGTGCAAGGTCTTATCACTATGCCATGTAGCCTATTTTAAAAGTTTCTCTTAAAAATTTTTAAATTTTGATTTTGAACTTTCTGGTAGGATTGTTTCATTGCTGTCTTTCAAAATTGTTTTACTTTTCTACATAAAACTTGATGAAAACTAATTTTTCATCTGTAAAAATAGGGAATAATTTTGCATTTACAAAAGAGCATCTATAGCTTCATTCTTAAAATTAATTGGAGATCTATCTAAAATACATGAAATATCACTAGTCTTAAATTGTATATATTTTATAAATTTAAAAAATTAACTGTGGGCTACAGTTAATGTATGTTTTAAGATTTTATAATACAACTTAAAAGGTAATCGCATAAATCCCGTGTAGCCTAAAATCACACAGCCGTAGGACATGACAGTTTAAATCTAATAATTTGTACTATTTTGATTTATCTTCATTAAATAAACTATTTGGAAAAAGACAGCTATATTTCCTATATTTAAAGTTCTCAGGCATTTTCATTTCATAATGTTTTTCTTTTCAATATATGAGTTTAAAGGTATCTCACATTTTTGTTGTTACTGATCTTAATTTCTCAAATAAACTTGAAAGGCACTTAAATATACTTTAATGTTTTAACTGGACAGTGTATTTTAATTGTAAATATATTCATGTAAATGTCTTATGTTGAAAAGCTTTTCAGTGGGGAATTTATAATGATATAATGATATAATATCTGAAATTTGTCAGTGAATTGGAAGATTTTCACAAAAATGTTTCTAAGCTAAGTCCTTTTGTGTTATTAGTTACCTTTAAATTATTCAATTTCTTATAAACCTGTTTGGGTGTGTAGTTGTTAACAGTTGAGCTATTTTAACATAAAGTTGGAGATTGTGTTGCATCAAATTGTTATAGTTATGACTATATTGTGTTAAAAAATGGACTGAATGCTATATATTTGGTTTGAAAGTTTGAGCCATATGAGTTTTGAGATATCTACACAAAAGTAATTTGTAGTAATTTGGAAAGTGTTAAATTGTGAGAATCAGGTATTATTCTGACATTTGTTAGTATAAATGACAAAATGTACATGAAATAGCCTGTTAACCTTAACTTCTTTATAGAAGATTCTAACGTAGGAAGCTAGATTGTGTACTTAATTTTCAACTTATTCTATTTTAATCACCCTAACTTTCTCTGATTTTGTGAATAGGATATGAGACTAAGATGATATTTATTAAAATAATCATATAAATAATTGCCATTTAAACTACTTTTGCTTTGAGATTAGAGTGGAGAAACTTTTTCTTGTGACTGAGTTTTCCCCTTTTCTGATGCCATCATTTAGGAATCAGCATTCCAGAACAATTGATATAGTTTTGCATTTTTTAGCTGGTCATGACAAACCAGCCACTGTGCCCTCACAGAGAGCAGCATAGTACTTGTCACTGGTGGCCTTTCTGTGACAGAGAGCTTGTACAGCGACATAAAGTGCTGCCTTTTGTGAACTGTCAAGTGAGAGTCTGCCAAAAACTCAGCAGACAGAACTAATTGGGGAGAAAAAGGACTTTTGTGCCCTCTTCTCTTCCTTTCTTTCTTTTTTATTTTTCATAAGACAGATATTGTTAAAGTAGCTTGTTTATGTAAGATTTGTCTGCTTCTCTTTTCTCATTGCATGGATCGTTTTGTAACCGAAAGTCTCACTCTGCAGGTTGTTGAGCACATCCACATGGAGGTTGGCCCAGGACCAAAGTCGGGACGCGCAACTTACAACAGTTGATGAGAAGTTGGTAAGAACCTTCTGCTACATGCTGCTGTGATTCTGCCCTTAGGGTTCTTTTTGTGCAGTAGATATTCAGTATGGTTTGGGGGTTCTTCTAGGAAAAGGATTTGAATTTGAATTTCTTTGAATATACATACATTTTAAGTGTTTTCACAAAAAGGTAATTTGTATAAAGTATTATACACAGATATTGTTGACTACATATAGTAAAATTAGTGAAGGCTTCCTTTTTTGTGATATTGTAAGTAATTGGAACACTTTTTTTTCTAATGAATATTGATTATATTTTCTCCATCACTTTTGTAAGTTATGACATACTTATTGGTACTATCTAAATTTAAGTATATTAAGTTTTCTTGGAACCATACCGTGTTTATGTTTCTGTGTGCGTGTGTGTGTTCATTTTACACATCATTGCTTGTGCATGTCAAAGTCACATTACAAGTAGTAATGAATGACCTTTTGTTCACCAGTAGTATGTAGAATTTTGGCAGCCAGCACACAGTTTTTCAGTATGTTGTATCACTTTAGATGCATTTGGATATTTATGCATATATTTTATAGTAGCATAATGGTTGTAATAATTACAGTACTCTAAAAATAATAAGAAAAAGTAAATGAGAACATATGTGTCTCTTAGCTACATTCTAATATCATTGCATTTCAAAATATGAAGTAAAAGGGCTGGCGAAATAGCTCAGTGGGCTAAGTGCCTGCGTTTGATCAAACCAAGGTGTGATCCCCTCACCACATGCTGTGCCAGCCTTGCCCCCGGGCACTTTGAGCCAGCCACAGAGACTGGTCTTGGTGGCGCATGCCTGTAATTCCAGCACTGGGGAGGCTGAAAGCACAAGGGTCACTATGAATCTAAGCCTCATAGTGAGTCCGTGTGCCAAATACATTAAAAAAAATAATAATAAAGTAGATCCTAAGTATTTTAAGTATGGAAATAGCACTTAAAAAGCATTTTTCTCACGTTTTTATTAGTGCGTATTGGTTGTACAGAATAGCAGGTTTCATTTTGGCAGATTTGAATATGCATGTGACGTACTTGAATCATTTCCTCTCCCTCTCTGTAGTTACCTTGTTTTGGGGGGCGAGGTTCAACATATATAATGTATTTTGATCATATTCATACCCTCTTCTACCCACCCTTGTATCCCTTTCTTTCGTCTTCATTTCATCTTATCTAATAACAGTCTCCCTTGTTTCTTTTCATTGTTTTAGATTCAGCTATTAGGGAGAACTTTCAGTACTTTTCTTTCTGAGTCTGGTATATTTTACTTAATGTATGATCTCCAGATCTGTTTTTCTGCAAATGATAAAATTATGGTTTTTTTATGGCTGAGTAATATTCTGTATACATGTGTCCCCTATTTATCTGTTTTTGGTCACCTAGTCAGGTTCTCTGCTTTGACTATTATATATTGTGCTCTAGTAAACATGGGCATGTCCGTATCTCTATAGGATTCTGAGTTTAATTCCTTTTTATATATACTAAGGCATGGTAGCTGGATAAATAGTAGTTCTATTTTTAGTTTTTTCAGGAACCTCCATATTGCTTTCCATAGTGGCTACACTGATTTACCTTCCCACCAGCAGGGTAAGAGGACTCTTTTTCCTCCATGTCCTCACCAGTTTTTTTGGATTGGGGTAGGATGTAATCTCAGTGTAGTTCTGATTTGCATTTTTCTAATGGCTAAATATGTTGAACATTTTTTTCATATATTCATTGACCGTTTGTTCTGCTTCTCTTGAGAAGTATTTGTTCTTTTTTTATTTATTGACTGGCCATTTTTATTTTTTACGTATTTTCAATTTTATTTATTTATGTGTGCGTGTGTGTGAGTGTGTGTGTGTGTGTGGCCAGCTCAGCCCACCAGGGGGCGGGGCTGGCTGGCATGTGGTGCTGGGGGATTGAACCGCGGTCTCTGTGCTTTGCTAAGCTTGTTCTAAGTAGGTGCTCCAGACCACTGAGCCATCTCACCAGCCCCTTTTTACGTATTTTCAATGTTAAGGTTTTTGAGTTCTTTCTATTTTCTGATAGTAATACTCTGATAGAAGAATAACTGGCAAAGATTTTTTTCTATTCTGTAGATTGTCCCAGGCAGAAACTTCTTGAATAGGCTTGAATAGTACAGAAAATAATAGCAAGAATCAACAAATGGGAATACATCAGATTAAAAGTTTCTGTACAGCAAAAGGAAATAACACATTTATATCACTATTATGTAGTATAAACCCTTGTATTAGATTAGTATACTGTTTTTATTAACTATGCAGAAGTAGATATTTGAAGCTGAAATTAGATGGAAACTAGATTCTTAATAAGAGCATTAGCCATTACATAGAATCCATTGGATAGTCATAGCTAATGTATTTTTAAAATTAACATAGGGTAATGCACAGGGCTTTAGAACTAAACTTAGTTAAGCAGCAATTTTAATGGTTATCTGTTTATTTCTATTTTCTGAAAATGAATCTCAGAAATTTAAAAACTAGAAGATAACTTCACTAGAAGATAATTTTGTTGTTACCTTTTTATCAAATTATTTTTAATTTTAGAAATGGTTTGACCTTTTGTCGAAGAGAAATCACATGTAGAAATCCATTAATAATATAGATAAAAACAACTTTAAGAGTGGTGAGAGTTATGGCAGGGTGTTTAAGAAGACTTTCAAGCCCCAGGGCATCCATCTGAGTGACTTCATGGAGTGAGAACTGGAATGGTTTAATATTCTGCTGTTTTTCAGCAGGTTGAGCAGCTGGTTGGTTTTCCAGCTTTGGTTTTTAAAATTTTCATACGTATAAGTGAATTGTAGATGTGTGTGAGGCTGCCTTTTGTGTTACTGATCAGCCATCATTTTATTTGGCTTTTATTTGTTTTTTTTGTTGTTGTTGCTATTGCTTTGTGAGACAGAATCATGCTGCTGTAATACAATCAGGCTGGCTTTGAAACTTGCTTTATAACCTAGACCAGTCATGGACTCCAGATTGTCTTGTCTCAGCCTCCCAAGTACTGAGATTAACATGTGCCACTCCACCTGGCAGTCAACCATAATTTTAGAAAGCTTTCTTGTGAATAATGAGTAGTCTTCTCAACAAGTGATGTTAGGACACTTGTATATTTATGCACAAAGTTTAAAAAGATCTTTGATGTATATCTGTGCTGTCCACAAAATTTAACTCTCCAGTCTTAGTAGAGTCTCATGGTCCTAAATCTCAAACTAAAATATTTAAAATTTCTAGAAGAAAATGTAGGAACAAATCTTTGTCAATTTGGGTCCAATTTTTTAAAGGTATTGTACCTAACATGATCTATTTTTTTTCAATAAATTGTAAAATTGGACTTTCTTACACTAAAACCTCGTGCTCTTTGGAAGGGATTGTTAGGAGAATGAAAAGACCAGCTATAGATTTGTTTGTTTTTTAATGCTTCTGTATTTGGTGCAGGGTCTCACTGTTGAGCTTGAACTCTTAATTATTCTTCTGTCTCAATCTCCCCAGCACTGATATTACAAGTGTGCACCACTAACTATACCTGGTGGCCGGCTCAGCACGCCCAGGGATGGGGCCAGCATAGTATGTGGTGCCAGGATTGAACTCTGGTCCCTGTGCCTGCCTAAGCAGGTGCTTAGTCCACTGAGCTCTCTTGTTGGCCTCTGACAAGCTATAGATTAAGAGAAAATATTTGCAAAATATATGTGATAAAGGAAGTATGCCTAGAAAATACAGACAACACTTACAAAAGAAGCCAGCTTCACAAGATAACCTACTATATGTTTGACATTATAGAAGAGGCAAAACTCTAGGAGTGGGAAATTGATTAGTGATTGTCGGGACCAAAGGGAAGTTCAGGAGGGAATAACTATAAAGAAACATGAGGAAAGTGTGAAAGTTATGTCTCAATTGTGGTGGTGGTTCTTTTGTTCAAAATCCATATTTCTATTCCTTTGTAAAAGAAAAAAACACAAAATTGCACACTAAAAGGTACAGATTGTGTTTATAAGTTACACATAAGGAGAGAAAGGTAATTTCTTAATTTGGTGATAATGTACTTTTTAAAAATTTCTATCCATTGATTCAAGGTCTACCCTCCTAAGATATAAGTGCCATTTTCTACATGGCAGTATTCTGTATATCTCTTTGGTAACCTAGTTTAGATGTTCTCAGAGTGCCTAAGGTTTTTTTTTTTTTTAGGAAGTCTATAAAGTTATTTTTATAATTATACCCTCTTTTTGCCCTTCTCATTTTGTTGACATTTACACTGATGGTACAAAATAATTGTGATAAAACTGCTGGCAATTTAACACAAATAAGGGCAGTGGGCTATCAGTATTTGTATCTTTCACTTCCTTGCAAAGTTTAAAAAAATCTCTAGTTTTAGTAATGATTCTTAAATTTTTAAGATTTCGACTCTGTGCACATCTCTTTGTTTCATGTAGCAAAAAAGAAGTACACATAAATGGTTCTGCTATCTACAGTATAATTATTGTCTTAAGAAAAAGCACTCTCTGTTTTACTTTCTGTTGGAAACTGAACTAGTCACTTCTTCATGATTCAACTTTTAGTTGAAATGACAGTGGACGAGAAACTACAAGTGTTCAGACTTCAGTATACGGCAGACATCTTCTTGAAAATATTGCCCATAGTAAAAGTCAAGCTTACAAGTGAAAAGTTTTTGTAGAAGTTGATTGTACTACTGATATGATTGACTTTGATTCCTTCCTAGTAGTATTTAAAAACTTCTTTGGAGATGACATTGACAAATGTGAGATATATATATATCATTTGATATATGTATTTGATATATATATATATATATATATATATATATATACATTTGATGAATACTCATGTCCAGTGAACATATTCTTTCTTTTCTTTTTTTTTTCTTCCTTTTCAAAGTTTTATTGATAAACATAAAGCAATGAGACAGTTTCAAATCAAATCGAAAGTACAGTTTCAACAAATAATACACTGCATATATTCTTCTTAGTGGTTAAT